TTTTTTTTTTTTTTTTTTTTTAATTGGTGATGTCATTAACTTGGGTGTGGTAGGTTCCTTTGCCACATGCCGTTTTTCTCCTATAGTTTTTCCAGCCTTGTTTTACTAAATTGAGCTCTGTTCATGAGAGGAACCGAAGATTTCCTTGGAGAATGTCTGCACTGAGTAATCTTTGAGAAAACCGCCTTGCGTTTGAGACATCAGCCACTGTGGCTGTGTTAAAAGGCATCATGGTGGATACTGGATACTCCTGTAGGACTGGTCTTTATAAGAACTGGTCATACTCCCACCCAGCATACTGAATTAATTATTTCAAATTTAATTTTTGTTTGCTCATATGTAGAAAGCAATTCTCTTAGACTGTTAAGCATGAATATGAGTAAAACATTTAAGTGTATAGAAAGAAAAAGACTGAGGGCCTATTCTTCTGTTCCACACCTGGTATAGACTCCAAGCAAAGTCTCAAAGTCTCAAAGGGTTCAGGGATATGGGAAGTGATTATTGGATCTTCTGTCAATTACATGATTTAGTGATGTAGTGAAGGAAGGAATAGTTCTATCAGAAAACCTGAGTTAAGATCATGTTGTATACGTGTGCCTCTGTTTCCTCAAATAAATATATTATTCATATGGAATATATATTCAGCTGTGTGAAACATTTCAAAATCCTCAGCAACAAATTCTAAATATGTGAGGGTATGTGTATGGTATCTTACTACATTAGTACAGATGAAAACGGTGGTGATGGTTAATGAAAGACTCCTATGAATTAATTGCTCTCTATTTATCTTTCCCCCCCCCCGACTTCCTTGCTGTTTGAATAAATCTAGAGTGGAGCTAAAATAACCTTATTCTTTATTTACAGGTTACTTTAGGTGGAACCTTTATTGGAATTGGGCGGAAAACTCCAGATTGCCAAGGCAACACCAAGTACTTCCGCTGCAAATTCTGCAATTTCACCTACATGGGCAACTCCTCCACTGAACTAGAACAACACTTCTTACAGACTCACCCAAACAAAATGAAAGCAGCCCTTCCCTCCTCTGATTCTGGTAAAGCTTCAGAGAAAAACTCCAATAAATCCAGTCCTACTCTTCGACCATGTGATTCTGGAGACTTGGGGAAGTGGCAAGACAGAATCACTGTAAAAGCAGGAGATGATACACCAGTTGGATATTCGGTGCCCATCAAGCCAATAGATTCCTCTAGACAAAATGGTACCGATACAACCAGTTACTACTGGTGTAAATTTTGCAGTTTCAGCTGTGAATCGTCCAGCTCATTGAAACTATTAGAACATTACAGCAAGCAGCATGGGGGAAGCCAGGCAGGAAGCCTTCACCCAGATCTGAATGATAAGCTTTCTAGGGGATCTGTCATTAACCAGAATGATCTAGCCAAAAATGCAGATGGGGAGTTAGTGACAAAGACAGAAAAGGGTGCGAGTGTGGCCAAAAAGAAAGACTTGACTAGCAAAGGAGCAGAGGACAGCATGGTGACAAGCTACAACTGTCAGTTCTGTGACTTTAGGTACTCAAAGAGCCATGGCCCAGATGTAATAGTGGTGGGTCCGCTTCTCCGTCACTATCAGCAGCTACACAACATTCATAAATGTACCATTAAGCACTGTCAGTTCTGTCCCCGAGGCCTCTGCAGCCCAGAAAAGCACCTTGGAGAAATTACTTATCCATTTGCTTGCAGAAAAAGTAATTGTTCCCACTGTGCTCTCTTGCTTTTGCACCTGTCTCCAGGGGTGACAGGAAGTTCTAGAGTCAAACACCAGTGCCATCAGTGCTCATTCTCCACTCCCGACGTGGACGTTCTCCTGCTCCACTATGAGAATGCACACGAAGCCCAAGCATCTGATGTCAAACCAGAAACAAACGCCCTGCCAGGGGCAGAGGGACCGCTGACGCTCAAGGAGAACAAAGAACACTCATGTACCAAATGTGACTTTACCACCCAGGTGGAAGAAGAGATTTCCCGACACTACAGGTACAGTAAAGTTTTAAATGGTTTATGATAGAAACCCAAAGAAACAGTCCTCCCTTAGTTCCTTAATTAAATGTCACCGTTCCCCAAACATTTGAGGAAACTGGAAATCAAAATATGAATGCATATAGATACAAATCCTTACAGCCAGGGTCTAATCCAACATCCACTTTGTTTTGGAAAACCACCAGCTAAGTCAGTGGATTTAATTATACATTTAAATCTGTACAAAGAAGAGGGAGATTCGGATTTGTGTGCAGATGCTGAAGTTCCAGCATATTTGAGGTTTGGTCAACTATTTTCCACCCAGAATCTTTTAGGTACTATTTTAGTTTAGGCTTTTTACCAGAAAGCTGGCATCTTCATTCAGTAGGGGAACACAAATGGCTTTACTTTCCAAGATAGACTATGAATCCTTTCATGCTCCGTAACAGTGCTTCAGTGTACTACCTTTTTGTAGTATTTTCCATTCCCAAGTCCAGCACTGCAATAATTAGTTTAAGAGCATTCCACTGCTGTTTTGGTGTTGGTTTCACACTGGGAGCAGACACTCTTTTGTCTGTTGATGTCATCCCCCAAGATCCTTTTGCAGATGCTTATTTTCGTGTTGCTGGTTTACAGTGTCGTTCTGTTTATTTTAAATGCTAATGTTCCTATTTGGAGGTGGATGCAGCCAGTCTCCTGACTCAGTCTGACACAATGTCATAGTGGCAGCCAACTCCCTGCTAAACTTCTTGGGTCAGTTCCTGGGCTGTTGTAAACTGGCAGTCCAGTTTACATCGGAGGAGGAGCTAGCTCTTAGGTTTTGTAAAGAGCAACAGTTATGTGCCGCTGCAAAAACAATGTTAAATATTAGAAAATCATGCTGAATATGTTAATAGTTAAGGCTAATGCATCAACAACAACGGAAAACTCAGTATCTATCTCATCTAAAAGATCTTTGCATGGAAGCCAGCTAGAATGAAGACAAAAGAAGATGCATTTTCAAAGCTAAAGCTTTGTTAAAAGCTCAAGAAACTGTGCCACGTTTAATAGATTCCAAGACATCCAAAATTAACAAAGGCAGACTGGGGCATGATACTTTAATAGAGATTAAAGCTGGGGGCATCCAAATGTTGCCCAACAGAGGGCTGCATTGGCAACATATCAGGAGTCTATTTAAAAAAAAAAAAAAAGGAGCAGATTGCTCATCTTTAATTTGGAGTTAGGGCCCACGGAGGATTCAGGTCCCAGCATGCAGTACCCCGTTTTTGATCCAAGTGGGCCTCGGGGATGTTGTGCGGATTAATTAGTTAATGTTTGTAAACTGCTTTGAAGATGAAAAGTGGTATCTAAGTTCCAAGCATTATTATAACAGCTTTGAGCCATGCTGTAGAACTCCATAGGCAGCACTTTGTCTGCCGCTGGGGCATGGCATGATCTTTTTTTAGTGGTTAAATAACTGGAAGATTGAAATGGGTCCTTGACTGAAAAAAACCCCACTTTTATATTGCTGCAGCTGGTAATTTAAGTTTCAACAAGCACGCTTAGTCAAAATCCTTTTTCTCAAGGAAAGGAGAAGCCATGACTGAGTGCTAAGTCAGAGATGTGGTAGCAGCAGCTTCTCCTTTGGAGGGCTCAGCACCCTGCGGCTCCGGCAGTTGTCACAAGGAACTGCACTTCGGAAAATCAAGGGATGCACTTCAGCATTTGCATCTCAACTTGTTTGTCTAAAATTAGGCTATTCTGTTTAAGACATTCAAACAATGTGTTTTTTTAGAGTCTTCAGAGTGTGACGTTATTGAGTACTCTGAGGATGTTGTATTATTAGAACAAAGTACAACATCCCTGTAACTGCCAGCTTCTTTCCTTTTCTCCTGCCCTCCCCCCTTTCTAATTTGAGTTTTGTTTCTTTTCTACATGTACTGCTGCTGTTTTCCCCCATATGCATCTTCTTTGAAATCACACAAGTTAGCTCAGTTTGTGGTAGGTGCTCTGTAATGGCAAACACCAGCAGGTTTTATTGCTTTTCTATGCCAGATGTAGTTTTCATAGTTTTCACTCTATCAAACTAAAACAAATGGAAAGAGAGACTTCTGGGGCATTACATCTTCTATTTTTATTATTCTTATTAGGCCCTTTTGTTTTTAATTGACATTTTGCATGTATTGGATATGTGTTTTCCTTCCCTTCTTGTATTTTATGAACCAAAGATACAGAACAGTTCAGATTTAAAAAAGCAGAACTTCTATAACATAGTAGTGTTAGGGAGTTATATGACACAGAAAAACATGCTGATAGGGAGTCAGCTCACATCCTAGTTGGCCTTCTCTGTGGCCTCATCAGAGTTTATCTCAGTAAAGCTGTTATGCCACACATTATGTCTTTCTGATGTATTTAAATTGCTATACCTGCCATAGATTTAAAACCTGTCCATTTGTATAATAAGGAGCCAAATGGATTCTAATGGTAAACATGACACCAAGAATTAATGCGGTGGCAGAAAGTGTTCTGCCCTTCACATATTGAAGTTTATCCTTGATAATCTGTGAATATCAGAGCTGGCTTTAGACACTACTTACATATTTTGGTTCATGTATTTTTTTGTCTTCATTTTTGATTATTTTTGTTTTTGGGTCAGATGCATGAAGAGCATGCTTTATTTATTTTCTGTTTTATTTTCTTTACTTTTGGCTCTACATCTACAATTTCACTGTGTCTGCTAGCTAAAAAATTTTCTATGATGTCCCAATATTATTCCTTTGCAGCCATGTATTTGCAGCAGTATTAGAATTTGCAAAAGCATTTTTTCCAAGTTTTCTATCTACAGAAATGTATACCTACACTTACCACTCATTCAGTTATTTCTTGACATGATTGTTTGAGAGCTGTTCAGTTAAATTTGAGGTTAATGAATCACATTGCACTTGAGTTTACTTGTATTTAAACTTCACTAAAATGTGCTTACTCAAAGAAATCCCCAGAAGGCTTATTGGCCTCCATTTTCTGCTAATACTGCTACTACACATTTTCCATTATACCTCTGAGGAATCAGGTACTCTTCATGTTTCTTGTGAAGCTTAATTTTTCCTCAAAACTGTCTGGTATTCTGATGAGCTAAAAGATGCCAAGGCTTGTAATTTAGATAAAAATCATCCCGAGCATTTGGGGAAATTTTGCATGTCGGATCACTTAGTCTAGAGATTATTTTCCTGCTTTCTCCAAAATAATTAATTTTTAAATTTTCTTTTTTTTTTTTTTTTTTTTCTTAAGAATGAAAGAGGCTTCTTGGAGAGTGGTTTGTTTTTTAATTTTGCTGAAAGATGTGGGAAAACAAAGCATTTTCTCATTTTTGCAAAAATTAGATTTTTTCGTGTAAATTGTTGTTTGTCAAAAAAGACTTTGACAGAAGGTATTTGATTGGTGCTAGTAGTAATTAAAAATGCTATGCTGAAAAATGCTCTAAACTCCTTTAAAAAAAAAAAAGATATGGTAGTGATTCATTAAACAACTGCAAAATATAAAAGAAATAGAAAGACTCACAAATGAAATATAAGCTTTGGCAATGAGGTAGAATCCTTCCTCTAATCAACAGAAATTATTCTGAAAATGTGGATGACAGCTGTTATGTAGGGTTCTCTCTTGAAATTAATTTCAAATTAAATTGAATTCCCTACCCATTAAAGGTGAGTGGAGTAGACAGGTAAAAGCCAAAGGGGTACTCGGGTCTTGCGTGTCAGAGACGGGACGCTGGAGCTGCCTCTCTGCCTGGCACTGCCAGCAGCAGAAGCTGGAGCAGGGGCTTGGGTGTGCAGTTTGTGGAAATGCAGAGCCTTTGGGACGCTCCCCAGAGAAGCCAACTGAGGGCAAAAGTGTAAATTGTGGCCCACCAGCTCCTAGTTTTTCTGCAGAGCAGGATCCTTCAGTTGTTGAACAATAGCAGCAGCTGCGAGGACCTTTGCCATCCTCCTGACACCTTAATTCACTGCTCTGAACTTGTTTGCTCTTGCCAATGGCTTTTGCTCTGCTTTCATCTCAGCCTTGCTCTCCGCTCTGCCCATTCTCCTCCCCTTTCTGTCCCTCTGCTGAATTTTCTTGCTTGCTGTGCTTGCTATCTTTCCTTCTGAATATTTTCTGCTCCCCAGAAGCTTGAGAGCGGCACCCATCCCAAGAGTAAACTTTCTTATAAGCCTGTTTCTTCATGAGAAATACTAATAATTATTATATTCATAATGAAGTTCAAAACTTGCAAAAAAATGGAAGTGATACAACAGCTATACCTGCATCCAGAATATTTTCTGTGCCCTAGAGCCTAGGAATGTCTTCAGGTAATTAAAAAAAAAAAAAAAATTACTTGTTCTGTAGAGGATGGTGTTTTGTAATACTTCAGACTAGTTAGAAGTATGTCAACAAGACTTAACAACTGGCTGGTGTCAAGAGTATCACAGCCTATTAGAAAGCTCAAGTAAAGAACATTAAATCCATCAAAAAAACCCCATCTAATCTCTCCAGCTTCAAGATTTTGCAAGGGAAAATCCTTGTATCTTATAGCACCCAATTCAAGTACATTTCAGTACAAATAAATAATGGTAAGATTTTATTGTGTTGTCAGAATGTAACACTGCAGCAAAGGTTTGGCCTGAATTCCTTGACATTTAGTCTTGCGATTGGGCCATACATGTTTTCATGTCCACGAATAATCAGGTCTTTGATTTATTCTGGACTGAAAATAATAATGCTAAGTGACATCAACGAATGGGATGACATTGCCATCCCAGTGCCACACTGAAGATACCAGTTTATGGCTTGGACCTGCTGTTAGTTTGCCTGAGTGGTGTAAAGCAAGATCACAAAAGGGAGAATGCTGCTTCATTTACATTGCTTTCTTCCATACGGAGATTTTCCTCAAACACCTCTGCTTTGATCAGCTGTGTACCGATACACAGTATTGCACCTGATGAATTCAGAGTTTCAGATGTTATCACCATGGTGTAGTTGGGAGGTGTAACTTGCAGGTAGTGCACAGGAGTGCCTATTGTGTACTTTGCACATCGGAATTTTTTAGATTTTGTTGCTTAGCTTTGAGAAGCTTTGTGCAAAAATCTATGTGTAACTTGGACCTTTAGAAACGTGGGGTAGGTTTCAGTTCTAGTATAAAAAGAAATCAAACATTGCCAGCTTGTTTCCTTGATTGCTATCAGGGTGGGGTGAAAACAGTCAGAGATGAAAACATTTTATTTTTTCTGCCTTGGTCTGGGAAAGAATAAGTTTCTAACTTTCAAAAGCTCTCTAATAGCTGATGATAGTTATTATTATCTGAAACGGTGACTTATATTGGACAGTTCCAAACTCTAGCTTACTTTGTAGAGCTTGGGGATAGAATAATATACGGGACAAACCCATGCGAAGTATGAAGATTGATGATGTTGATGGGAGAGATTACTTTTTAATGCATACTAGAAAAGTGTATGGCCTGAAAAACAAAGCCTGTTGAGTTACTATCTACCTAAATCACTCCTTGTCTTTTCCACATTGCAGTGCCTATCACAGTCTCACAGAAAAACAGAGGAATGTTTGTAGGACTTTCTTTGGATCAGTTATAAATAATTTAAATGAACAAACCTTTAATGTAATAAAGGTGACTTTTAGCTGGGCCTCAGCCATGTGGTTACAACTGCATCTAATATTCGGCATTTATTTGTAGCCTCAGAAGTGTGGTACCTCTGCTGTGGTGTATACTGCTTCTGATCAAAAACATTTAGCCAGTGTGGAAGGGGGGAAAAAAAAAAAAAGAGACAAGTTAGTCAGAAAAAGATCAACTGTTTGGAGGTGTGATATCTGTAGATGAGAGCCAAGTTAGGAAAGGGGGTTAGCTATTGAAATAGCCAAGTTAAACAAGAGACACTTAGGGCTAAGTAGCCTCCCAAAGGATTGATAAACTTTCACATGGGGAGTGTGTGCGGTTCAG